CTCTGCCAAAGGTTTGGTCATGAGTCTTTGCTTTGAAAACACTGCTAGTTAGAGTCTTTCAAATGCGCTCAGTAGACTCCTGTCATATGTTCAATGCGCATCCCATCTGTCTTTCTAAACGAAGATTGATAATCTTACCCCATGTCCGCTCTCTTGATTATCTTTTTTAGGTGTGTAGATTTCATTATGTTTATCATATCTTATAGGTCTATATAAGTGAGTATATACCGTGTTTGTCTTTCTCCTTCTGGGATATTTCACTCAGGATGATCTTTTCTAGATCCCACCATTTGCCTGCAAATTTCATGATTTCCTCCTTTTTGATTGCTGAGTAGTATTCCATTGTGTAAAAATACCACAATTTCTGTACCCATTCCTCCGTTGATGGACATCTGGGTTGTTTCCAGGTTCTGGCTATTACAAATAAAGCTGCTATAAACATGGTTGAGCAAATATCCCTTTTGTGTACTTGAGCAAACTTTGGGTATATACCTAGCGGTGGTATAGCTGGGTCTTGAGGAAGCACTATCCCTAATTGTCTTAGAAAGCGCCAGATAGATTTCCAGAGTGGTTATACCAGTTTACATTCCCACCAGCAGTGGAGGAGGGTTTCCCTTTCTCCACAACCTCTCCAGCATGTGTTGTCCCTTGAGTTTTTCATCTTGGCCATTCTGATGGGTGTAAGGTGATATCTCAGGGTCGTTTTGATTTGCATTTCCCTGATGGCTAATGAGGATGAGCATTTCTTTAAGTGTTTCTCTGCCATTTGATATTCCTCTGTGACAATTCTCTGTTTAGCTCTGTTCCCCATTTTTTAATTGGATTACTTGGTTTGCTGCTTTTCAGCTTCTTTAGTTCTTTGTATAGACTCGATATTAGTCCTCTGTCAGATAAAGGGTTAGTGAAGATTCTTTCCCAATCTGTAGGCAGGCGTTTTGTTTTGATGACAGTGTCCTTTGCTTTACAGAAGCTTTTCAGTTTCATGAGGTCCCATTTATTGATTGTTGCTCTTAGAGCCTGTGCTGTTGGTGTTCTGTTCAGGAAGTTGTCTCCTGTGCCAATGAGTTCTAGGCTGTTCCTCACTTTTTCTTCTAACAGATTTAGAGTATCTGGTTTTATGTTGAGGTCTTTGATCCACTTGGACTTTAGTTTTGTGCAGGGTGATAAATAGAGATCTATTTTCATTTTTCTGCATGTGGACATCCAGTTGGACCAGCACCATTTGTTGAAGATGCTGTCTTTTTTCCATTGAATGGTTTTGGCTTCTTTGTCAAATATCGAGTATTCATAGGTGTGTGGGTTTATTTCTGGGTCTTCTATGCGGTTCCATTGATCCTCCTTTCTGTTTTTATGCCAATACCATGCAGTTTTTATTACTATTGCTCTGTAGTACAACTTGAGATCGGGGATAGAGATACCTCCAGATGATCTGTTGTTGTACAGGATTGTTTTGGAGATTCTGGGTTTTTTGTTTCTCCATATGAAGCTGAGAATCTTTTTTTCAAGGTTGTAAAGAATTGAGTTGGTATTTTGATGGGAATTGCATTGAATCTGTAGATTGCTTTTGGCAGGATGGCCATTTTCACAATGTTAATCCTACCAATCCATGAGCACGGGAGATCTTTCCATCTTCTGAGATCTTCTTCAATTTCTTTCTTCAGAGACTTGAAGTTTTTCTCAAACAGGTCTTTCACTTGCTTGGTTAGTGTCACCCCAAGATACTTTATGTTATTAGTGGCTATTGTGAAGGGTGTTGTTTCCCTAATTTCTTTCTCGGCCCTTTTGTCTTTGGTATACAGGAGGACTTCTGATTTTTTTTAGTTGATTTTGTATCCTGCCACTTTGCTGAAGGTGTTTATCAGCTGGAGGAGTTCTCTGGTTGAATTTTTGGGGTCGCTCATATATACTGTCATATCATCTGTGAATAGTGACACTTTGACCTCTTCCTTTCCGATTTGTATCCCCTTGATCTCCTTTAGTTGTCTTATTGCTCTGGCTAGGACTTCAAGTACTATGTTGAAGAGGTATGGAGAGAGTGGGCAGCCTTGTCTTGTCCCTGATTTCAGTGGGATTGATTTAAGTTTAAGAGAGAGAAACTTTAGGTGTGCTTCAATTAGACTTACCTGATTGCACTGCCTGGCAGGCATTGAAAGGAACACTTTTCCCATCTAATAAAGCCTGCTGAGCTACTCATGATCTTGAATACTTATAATCCAGGCAATCAGGAGGATTAAAAATTCAAGGAAACTGTTCACAGACAAGGCCTGTAGCACCAACCTTTGCAAGCAGACCAGCCATGTGCTGTTTGTCCACATGCTTACCCACCCTAAGGTGCTTCACCTTTCATCCTTCTACTTCACCCTCTGAGTGCGGTGGAATTTATCATTCACACTCAACCCCCTCCCCCAGAACACTGTCCTACCTGCGCTGAGGTGTTTGGGACTTAGAAGCTGTGCCTTCTTGTTATGTGCTTACCCCCACCAATGCCCTTACTAGCCTGCTCAGAGCAGGACTGACTTTAAGTCTGGTCTGGAGTCTGCCAACCACAGCTCATAAGGTAATACTGACAGCCGAAATGTGTGCACCATCCTATGAACCAAAGGCCATGGAAAACTTTGTAGCTGGTTCCTCAACAGGCTCAGCAATATCTTGCTCTCTGCAGGAAGAGCTGTTCCTGACATCTGGGATGACAAAAGCCTGACCTTTTAGATATGCTTTTGACTCTGTGGACTTGGCCTAGGAGTTAAGGCAGAGAGTAACCCCAGTGCTTAGGAGATGGAGGAAAGAGGATCAGTAGTTTAAGGTCATCTTTAGCTATAAGTTCCTGCCTAAACGCAAAAAGGAAACAAAGAAAAGGGAAAACAAGAAGGCAGGCCTAGTGAGGCAAGAGCTAGAACACAGTGTAGGAACGATGGGTGTGCTTCATTAGCTTCTTGAATGCTCCATGGTGAGAAGAGCAAGTTGGGGAAAGTGGGATATTGTGAATCCAAAAGATGTGGGTTGAAGCCCATGTGGGTAGGGGAAAGGATGCCAGCTTGTCTAAGAGACATAGAACTTACCATTTAGTTATCCCAGGCCAGTGAGATGTCAGCTGGTAAAGACACTGCTGGAAGTCTGACCTGAGTTCAGCCTCAGGAACCAACTTACACAGGTTGTTCTCTGACACAGAGGTCAGTGTATGCACACGCGTATAAATACACACACACACAACATTTTTTTAAAGACAAAATGATTTTTGCCCATAGAGTTTACATTCCATGGGGAAGGGCACATAATAAGTGGATATCTTGCTAAGCACTGAGGAAAAAATAAAGATGCTATCTTAGAGGGCAGTGACCTGGGAAGGAAGCAGAAACATTTTGCTCTTGAATTCATTACTACAACAGATGCTAGTATCCATTTTTTTGACCATTTGGAACACAGTTCTAGTCAGGAAAGGTTAAGGACAAACATATGTACAGTAGTGGTGACTAAGAAGGAAAGTAAGCTGGGTGTGGCATGTGCTGTGTTGGATTTCAGTGAAGGCCTCTGGTATAACGTTTGAGCAGAGAACTCTGAAGTTGGACCATGTTGTACAGATAAGGAGGACTGTTCTAGGTAGAGAAATGACCAGCCCCAAAGACCCCACCATACTTGGACAACAAGGAGAGCAGTATGATTGGTGAAGTGGGCAGGGGAGATGCTAATAGGAGAGATCGATAAGGATCTGCATTGTTTGAAGAATAGTCCCAAGCAGAAAACACAAGTGGGGTCTAGTTGGAAGACTAGTCTAGTGAGAGTGAGGGTTACTGGGAAATGATGAAGTGCCCAATCCAGTATATATGTCAGAGGTAGAGCTGAATGCCTGTAATCAATAGGTGTCAACCACAGACAAAATGGAGTCAAAGGCTAGTCAGAGGTGAGCGTTTGTGTCTTGCTATCAACATGATGAAATCAAGAATTTGTTTTGGGGGTTGGAGAGATGGCTCAGAGATTAAGAGCACTGGCTGCTCTTCCAGAGGTCCTGAGTTCAATTCCCAGCAGCCACATGGTGGCACACAACCATCTATAATGACATGCAGGCCTACATGCCTGCATGTAGGAAAATACTGTATACATAATAAATAAGTCTTTTCTAAAAAAGAATTTGTTTTGGACAACTTAAATGTTCAAGGCCAGCCTGGTATAGAGCAAGTTTCAGGTAAAGAAAAGCTTAGATCCAGGTGAGATGGTACACATTTTTAATCCCAGCTCTCAGGAGATAGAGGCAGGCAGATTATCTAAATTCTAGTCAGTTCTGTTCAGGAGTTGAGGCAATAAGTTGAATAGGTGGTGCGGTAGAGTTGAGTTGATGGCCGTTCAGTTAGTGGAATTCAGAGGAGAGTTTTACAAAGGGAGGTTAAAGAGAGAACAAGCTAGACACAGGTGAAGACAGAACAAGCCAGAGAATGAGAAGGAGCCAGATGATTAGAACAGATTGCTAGAGTTAGTTTGAGGCCAATCAACAAATCAGTGAGAAACAGAGAGAAGCCAGATTAGACGTAGAGAGGAGTTTGAGCCAGAACAGCTGAGTTGAACCAGCCAGCCAGAGTTCAGAAAGAGCTAGAAAGGGTGATCTTAATCAGCAGCAAGTCTCAGAGGCTGAAAACATCCTAGGCCTAGGTTAGATTGTATGGAGGCTCAAAGCCTCTAGGACTAGGCAGACCTCTATTAGCAGATGGAGGCAGGCAGTAAGCCTCAGAGACAATTAAATCAGGTGAACAAAAGTTATTTTTACGTGTGTATGTGTACATGTGTATAGAGGCAGTCAACATTGGTTGTCTTTCTCAATTGCTTTTCACCTTTTTCCTCCACTTTATTAACATTTATTACTTGTACAAAATAATGGGTTTCATTATGACTTTTCATGCATGTATACTTGTACTCTCAGTTATAGAACATCACTGATGGGCCAGAGAATTTCATTTCATATCACTTCCCTGGAGGTATCTATAATTCTGTTTTTTTTTTTTTTTCATCCTAGATTGGGTGTCAACAATACTAGAACTGCTCTCCAAGAAGCCAAGAAAGAACTAGAATAGTGGCAGAGGTAAGAGAGGCTAGGACCTCACCTCCAGGAGCGTCTAAAGTAGCTGGAATTTCAGGCCTGTGCCACCAGGCCTGGCTGCTCTCTGAGGAAAAGTTTACAAAGTGTAATCTGAAAATTTGGAAGCTGGATAAGTTTTAGAATTACGAGTTTGTAAGATGCCTGAAAGAGCATAAATGAATGTATACATGCCGTATGTTTCTTGATAGCCCAGCAGAGCCTGAAGTAATGTTCCATAGCCAAATACAACATTTCTTTAAAAAAAAATTTTAAAAAGGTTTTTCTGTAGCCTTGGCTATCCTGGACTCACTTTGTAGATCAGGATAGCCTCAAACTCACAGAGATCCACCTGCCTCTGCCTCCGTAAGTGCTGGAATTACAGGAGTGATTTTCTTTAGTTAAAAAAAAGTGCATATATATTCACACACACACACATACATGTATATGTATGTATGTATGTATAGTAGGGATGTGCATGTGCAGAGGTGGATGTCTTCCTCATTTGCTTTCCACCTTAGTATTTGAAACAGTCTTTCATTAAACATACTGCTTGCCAATTTGGCTACATTGGCTGGCCAGGTAAGCCAGTAGGACCTGCTATCCACAGTTTACACCACCTTTGCACGCCTTTGTAGATGCTGGGGTTCCTCATGCTCACATGCTAAGTGCTTTACCAACTGAACCATTTCTCTAGACCCTCTTTTCGGTTTCGCTTGTTTGTTTTTCTTTTTTTTTTAATGGTAGTGTTTTGCCTGCACTGTGCACTACATACATGCAGTGCCCTCTGAGGCCAGCAGAGGGCGTCAGACCCTTTGGAATTGGAGTTACAGCTGGAGCTGCTGTGTGGCTCTGTATGGATGGGTTCTCTGGAAAACTGGCCAGTGCGCTTAATTGTTGAGCCATCACTTCAGTCCTCCCAACCCCTGTCATTGACTCTATTTAATACTTTCATGGTTACAGAAACAACAATAGAATGTCAACACAGAAGAGACAAAGAAAATGTGACAACTGAGTTTTAGGTGAGTTAAGATGGAATTTTTTGGGGGGAGAGCATTAAGTTTGTTGCCAAACCTAGTGGGGGAGGGGATCTTAATTTTAAGGGCTTTTCACACTTGAGTATTGCAAATAAAGAATTATGGACTGATTTTTTTTTTTTTTTTTTTTTTTTTTTTTTCCTCTTGAGACGGTTTCTCTGTATAGCTCTGGCTGTCCTGTAACTCGCTTTGTAGACCACGCTGGCCTTAAACTCAGAGATCCACCTGCCTCTGCCTTTGAAGTGATGGGATTTTTGAAGTGATGGGATTAAAGGCCTGTGCCACATCACACTTGTGGCAGTCATAGGAGTCTGTTCACTTGTTCACTGTGGGATCCAGAGATTGAATTCAAATTGTCGAGCTTTCATGGCAAGCACTTTTACATAAATATACACACATACTGTAATAACAACAAAAAGAAACATTAAATCTGTAAGAAATGGGTCATTCTTGTTGCTGTTTTTTGGCAGTGCTGCAGTCCAAACTCAGGGCCTCCTGCATAGTAGAAAAGGACTCTGACCCACCAGTAAGCTGTACCTCTAGTTCACAAGTCAGTTTAGTTAAAAGCATGAAACATCTTTGTTTGGTAGTACATGCTATGCCATAAAAATTAATGTTTTGCCAAGCATGGTGGCGCATGCCTGTAATCCCAGCACTCTGGGAGACAGAGGCAAATGGATCGCTATGAGTTCAAGGCCAACCTGGTCTACAAAGTGAGTCCAGGACAGCCAGGGCTACAGAGAGAAACCCTGTCTCAAAAAAGAAAAAGAATTAATGTTTTATCACTCTGATTCTATGGCAAGGTGAACAAGAGCAATCCACATTGTTCTAAGAATCAGAATCTGAATTGGTGATCATACCTACACCTCCCCAGTCCTGGGATTATAGGCATGTACCTCCATATCCAACTTTATTCAGTATGTCCAGGCTTTGTGCATATTAGGCAAGCACTCTGCCAAATGAGTTAACATCTCTACTCTATTAGGTTTGTTTGTTAAATGCAAGTTAATAAAAGTTTAGGCAAGTAGTCCCTTAGGCATTTCTGTATAACTCTCGGGCTGCAAACTGACATTCTCTAGCACGTTTATCCAATATTTTCAGGTCAGTAAGGCTTTCTTCTGAGCTAGATTTGGTGTATACCTCTAAATTCCAGCACTTGGAGACAGAGGAAGGAAGAGGGCCACAAGTTTGAGGCTGGGCTGGATTATATATTGAGACCCTGTCCAACTGTCCCTCTCCCTAAAACAACAACAGTTTTCCTTTTGAAAGTGATTTCTTGGGTCTGGAGAGATGGCTCAGTGGTTAAGAGTACTATTTGTTCTTCCAGAGTTCAATTCCCAGCAACCACATGGTGGCTCACAACCATCTATAATGTGATCTGATGTCCTCTTCTGTCATACAGGTGTGCATGCAGGTAGAACACTCATATACATAAATAAATCTTTAAAAAGTTATTTCTTAATTTCAATATTTCAGACTTGCTATAAGTGAACATCTGATTTTTTCTGAATTAATGAAATATGATTGAATGAATCAGAATGAAATATTGACTCTTAAACACTTAAAAATGTAGTTTTGGCCTCAAGCCTCAGTCTGCTATGGATCAAGGATGACCTTGAGACCCTGATCCTCCTGCCTTCCTCCATCTCCCAAGTTCTGGGATTGGAAGTATGTATGACCAAGCTCCACGAAAACTGAGAAACAGTTTAACAAGGTATTCAACATAACCCTGCAGTGGCTCCCTGCAGTGACACAGTCCAGGCTCCTCAGAAAAAGATGCCCTCAAGTGATGATACTTTCTGATCATTTGAATGCTGTTTGAGTCCCCTGGGATTTGTGCTTGGTTGTGAGCTACCTTGACCCCTCAGTATTTCCAGACATGCTGGTGCAGGGTGGGGTCTGGGGCCCTGTGCCACCAGGTCAGGCTCTGTTGTGATTTCAGAAGCTTGGTTTAGCTCAGAAAAGGCCTGGTCAACTCTTTAACCCCTAATCGTTTCCCCCATGTAAACTTTTCCAGGGGATGGTTTTAGAATATGAGATCACTGAATAAAATATTTTTATTTCTCTATTGTTAGGACAATGAACTCTTGAGTATAGTTGCCAAAAATTTGATGGGTAATTTTGATTCTGTAATTTGGCTTTAAAGGGCTGGCATACAGAGGTACTCTAAACCAGTGTGCTCTGCTTGTTATCTCCAGAAGCCTGTAGTAATCGCCAGCATCCTTTTTCCCTCCTCATGCCTTCACCTCCACTCCAGCTCACACACACCTTTCTGTTCCCACAGTCTGTAGTCTACTCCTATCGCCAGTGTCTTATTTTTGGGAGGTAGTAAATGCTGAACTGATAAAATGGGTTTCTCCTTTTTTTTTTTTTTAATTTAAATATGACAGACTTTAATTTAGTTAAATGTTACATTTACTTAAAGCTTTTAGACCAAAGTTTATTGAGGTAATTTTTGAACACGTCCTTTTTGATAAACTATTCAACAACAAAGCAAGACTGAGAGCTGTGAAGATGGCTCAGTAAAGTGCTTGATTTGCAAGCATGAAGACTGGCGCTAAGAACCCCAGCACCCACATAAATATTAGGTAGTTGTGACAGGGTCAAGAATCGCTGGAGAGCTCTGAGTTCATGTGAGATCCTGCCTCAGCAAAATAAAGCAGAGAGCCACTGAGGAAGACACCCAGCATTAACTTTTGGTGTTCAAGCTTCTGCCCTCCCCTAACAAACACATAACATGCATACACAGAAAAAAAAAAAAAAACTAATGAAAATTTGAATTTTTTTTTTCATATTAGAAGTAAATTCTTCCCTTTTAAAGGACTGGTCCTTCAAGTACAAGTTTATCTCTACCTTAATTTGAAAAATAACAGACCAGTATGGGTGGTTGGATGGATTTGGCTCCTGTAGACTTATGAGTTTAAATGCTTGGCCCATGGGGAGTGGCACTATTAGGATGTGGCCTTGTTGGAGTGGGTGTTGGCTTGTTAGAAGTGTGTCACTTTGGGGGCGGGTTTTGAGGTCTCCTGTGCTCAAGGTCCATTCTGCTCAGTGTAGACAGTCTCCTGCCTACAGATCAAGATGTAGAACTTGGAGGTCCTTCTCCAGCACCGTTCAGGTTTGGACATTGCCATGCTTCCTACCGTGGTGATAATGGCCTAAACCTCTGAAACTGTAAGCCAGCCCCAATTAAATGTTTTTTTTTTCTTTTTTAAAAAATTTAATTTTGTTCATGTGCATTAGTGTGAAGGTGTCAAATCCCTTGGAATTGGTGTTACAGACAGTTGTGAGCTGCCATGTGGGTACTGGGAATTGAACCTGGATCCTTTAGAAGAGCAGACAGTACTCTTAACCACTGAGCCATCTCTCCAGCGCCTTAAATGTTTTTCTTTATAAGAGTTGCCTTGGTTATGATGTCTCTTCACAGCAATAAAACTCTAAGACAACCAGTATAAGCTATCTCACTGTCGTAGAAAATTAACTTTGGGGCTGAAGAGATGGCTCAGTGGTTAAGAACACTGGTTAATCTTCCAGAGGACCTGGTTTGATTACATGGCAGCTTACAACTGTCTGTAACTCTAGTCCCATGAGGTCCATCATCATCTTCTGGCCTCAGTGGGTACTGCATGCAAATGATACACAGACATATGTGTAAGTTAAACACCCGTTCACCTTTCTCCTCAAAAGAAAGAATAGATTGGTTAAAGGAAAAAGTACTAGTTGGAAATCACCCTTACATTCCTCTCTATTTAAATAACTTTTCACTTTAGATGGAAAACTTTGTATGATGTAAATGTATAAACAAAGGCTTTAAAAAAAAGATAGGGTTTTGCTTTGTAGCCCAAGCTCGCCTTGTACTTGAAGCAGCAGTGCTCCTGACTCAGCAGTTCTTGAATATTGAGCTTACAGGTGTTCACCACCATGCCTCTAAAAAGTCTATACAGCGCATATTAAACAACTTTTTGCCCAAGGAATACTAGACAGCAAGTGTTTTAGCTAAGTTGTGTTACTTTCAAGAGTAATGACCAAAATAAAAGAATCCAACACATGTTAAGTTAAAGGACATTTTATTTACTGACAGATTAAAAAAATGTAACTCAGGGCAGTGCAAAATGCACTACTGAACCCATTACAAAGAATTGGTGTTAATACACAATGTTTAAGCAATGCTACGTGTTTTTGGCAAAATGCTGTGCTGTTTATTATGTATAAAACTGACCATCTCTGACCCAATCAGTATAAAAAAATTTATAAAAACAGAAAAACAATTAGTGGCTCAAGAAAACAAGCTGCCGTTTATGCATAGATTGATGTACAGTATATATAACCTAACCAAAATGTCCCTTTTAAGTTTCAAGTTGTTGAGAGAGAAAAAAATTGTGCCATAAACACATTATGAAGGCACATAGTATAACCTACAGTACTTTTCAGTATCCATAGCTCATACCCCGCCCCCAGAAGGCAAATGTGTTCACAATTTTACTAGAGGAAAAATAAAGCCACTTCTTAAAAATAACACACATAATTATTGACTAAAGTTTAAAACTGCTGTAGGAAAACAAAATCACACACACACCTGAGACCCCAAATACACACATCTAACCTCATTTGGTTTTTACAAGTCCACCTAGAAAACAATAGTAAAATGTCAGGCAAGTATAGAGCCAAATTAGGCGTTTAACAATTAGAAACATTTTCAATAGCACAAGGAAACTTATACACAGAACATCATCCATTTAAGCTGCCTTCCTCTGAATAGTACCTTCTCTTCCACATCCAGGATACTGTTGCCAGTAAGAAAAGACACTTTTCCTGGTGCCTCTGCAACCTATGCCTTTCTGCATCTAATTTCTGGTGTCTCTCTGCACCTAAGCCACTTGAGTTGTGTCACATTTCAAGAGAAACTGGACTACGACAAAGTAGACAACACTGTCGTGTGTGGATTTGTTAAATAGGCAAGCATTCATGTAAAAAGTTTCAGCATTAGAATTAGGTAGGTAGGGTTGCCATTTATAATACATCAGAGGCTGATGGCATGAAACCACCTAACTTTAAAAGACTTCTTTAAAACTAATAGTTTCTACAGGCCTTACAAAAGAATAATTCCAAGGCGCATATATACTAGTATCTCCCAGTACAAGGAGCAGTCTCTTAAGTGTTTCTAAAACAGAAAAAGAAAAAAAAAAAGGTAGACACTTTTCCCACTAGTCTATTTAAATGTCTTATCTTCTGGTTGTAGTCCTTCATAACTTTTGTTTCAAACTCAAAATGAAGATAAAGGAGATAACCTCCCTTACTTTTTGTTCTTTTTAAAGAGTATACAAAGACTGTATGCCTCTGTGAGGATGGAGTAAAACAGCAAATCAATTCAGATTTTAACAAAAATGAAGGCTGCAAATCCATACAGATTTGAGAAGCGAAAACAACAGGCAGGCACATGAGTCCTTGCAACTTTTAAGCAAGCATACTCTTATTGCTAGAACCAAAGAACTAATAAAGCAAAAGCAATCTGCGTGGAAATTAGAAAAAAAAAAAAAGTACAGAAAGTTAATGCTTTGTTTTTAAACTTCCTGCAGTGGGAAGTAAAAAGTCAACCTTTTTGTATCTCTGCAAAAAGTTTCCCACCTACACAACCATACAAATACAAATTGCCACAAAAGATAAATATGGTGAACGAGCATCTATATACAGTGCAGAATATAACTCAGGAAACACATACTCCAAATGTATGGCTGATGCACGCCGTGTATCCTAGACTTTGTAAGCAACATTCTAGGCTATCAGTTGAGAAATGGTTGGTGCTACTAAATTCTAGAGTTTTGCTTCTTTGTTTTTGTTTTTTTACAGTGCTGGGGATGGAACACAGGACTTTGCAAATGCAAGTCCTCTACCACTAAGCTACTTGCCCAACTCTTGGGGTCTTCTTACTGCTTATACTTTTAATGCTCTGAAGTACACTGTAAACTACTAGTAGTTTACAATAGCAAAATGATGATAGAGTACTCAACTCATAAAATGCATTTTGGCCATGTTTCAAAAAAATATTTAACAGGTTAAAATTGTTTTGTATTATTAGACACACAGTAATTGCCTAACAAAACACTTAATGACCAAAAACTTGAGTTGTGTAACCTTTTTCAATTGTTACATGTGCCAATTTTAGACATAAACTTTAGATTCTTACACAGAATTCACCATGTGCCACCTACTGTAGGTGTTATGGTAATCTTAACCCTAAAAAAAAAAAATCTTAGTAATAATGTTTGCTGGTTTTCAGGGACCAGACAAAAACAGTAGGCACAAGGCAAATGAAAAGTCAGTAACTGAAAGAGATGTAGATGTACTTAAGGGATGAACAAATTTGGGTCAAAATTTTGTTTAAAAAAAAAAACAAAAACAAAGCGCTGCAGTTTAATATACAAACCAGTTCATGCCGACCAAATAAATTCTGATGGCTGAACTTCCAGCTTATGAGACACAGTTTACTTGTGATGTAAGGGAGCAGGAGGAAGGCTACATGTATTCAGAACTTGGGTCCAAAAGACACATAGCTGGTCTAGTTTCAAGTTACCAATATATGACCCTATAACAAACATGTAAAACATGCACACCTCCATGAACACATAAAGTAACAAATAACTTCCCAGTTTGACAGACTTTACAGACTTGGCCCCTTAACTAGAAAACAAATAAATAAAAGGGGAAGCTGATATGGAAAATGCGTAAGGAAAAAGAGAACTCTAGATTCCTGTTTTAAAGAGACACCCCTCACCATCTGACTCAGCTCTAAATGCTCAGCCTCATCCAAGAGCCCTGCTCCTCCCTGAAAGTCTCCCAGGGTTCCCTGCAGCTGCTACAGGGTAATACTTCACATAACAGTATGCTGCTTTTTCCCTTGATACTATTTCACGAACAAGTGTTTAACGAGGGTTGCAGAGGGGATAGGAAAATGAGCTGTTTGATTACACAGGCAATGGTATTATTTTCAGTAGAATGTGCTATAAGCTGTAAATAGTTTTTAATTTTCCAGAAAGTTGGTTGCAATTATGGATGGCTCATCAAAATCCATCAAAACTGGTTTGCAAAAGTAGCCAGTTCGAGGTAAGAAAATGAACTTTCCTCTGCATCACGTTAACTGGCCCATGAGTGGAACCCTGTACCCTGGCCTCATTAGCACCAACCCTAAAGAATCATCATGGCAAAAAAAGTGCCATAGTCTCCCACCATGAGGTTCAATAGAAAGGCCCTGGAAGTTCACCCAAAGTTCAGTTTGGACAGCCCCACTTCCAATCAGTATATAATCCCACAACTCTGTGAGGGAGGTAAGTGTTATTACTACCCTGCTGTGGAGGAAACAGGCCAAAGTGGTTAAAGATACTGTGAAGTTAAAAAATGAAAGCTTGTGGAATTAACCCATCAGCTTCATTTTATAAACAGATGCCTCCAGAAGTCCCATGTCTCCAATTCTTTCACTTGGGAGGACAAATCCATATCTAAGGAGTCACCACTCTTATCTCTCACTTTCTTAGGGCAGACATGAGCATGAAGTCACTGAGTGTGCCTGGGTGAGCACGTGTGCATTGCCAGCTAAGCTGGCAGTTAAGACTGTAGACACTGACTGCTCCAAATACTGACTGCTCTGTGGGCTACCTACAGATTCCAGACATCCTCTCACAGCTTTAATTTTTCCCTTTGCATAGTAGACAAGTGCTTTTGTCCATGACAGCTGTAATAAGTACCTGTACCTTTCGTGGAGTCATATCAGAATTACTTAATGTATTGTTCACCAGAGTTAATGTACCTGAATTCCACAATGAACTGCAATGACTAATCTGGGGGGGGGGGGGGGGGAGGAAAGAACCATACATACAGAAATATGTCAAGTTTTCTTTCAAAAGTTAAGCTCAGCCATTAATTCCATTATATCCATGGCAATAATCACCTGTTAATGCTCATGTTAGTGTGTAAAAATGTACTCATTGTATACAGAAAAAGACTGTCAAGTACTGGTCAATAAAGTATATGACTGACCCTGAGAATAAATTTTTGCTTACACAAAAGATTAAATAATACAAAATAAATGAAATTGAAAAGATGCTGACTAACTCATATATATATATACACCTTACTGCACTTAAAGACAACCCCAAACACTGTAACTGTACTGATATGTTTCCAAAAGTATTCTGAAAAGGTTTTTTAAAAAGTAATTGTCAGGAGCAAGGCATTTTGTGGTATACAGCACAAAAATCTGGTTGTGATAGTGCCTAAACACAGTGATACACTAGGCAATTGGTCTTCAGGTGGCTGGAAGAAGACAGCATTTTCATTGTATGCACACATATGCGCAAACCCAAGGAAACCAACCAGCAGAACTCAACCTTCTCAGTAATTGTACTGGCGTGGACAGGGCTGCTGAACCACCCAGCCACTGTGCTTGATTTGTCGAGTGTGGCAATCCCTGGTAAGGTTCTGGCGACGAAGGCCATTTCTGTTTAGAGACTGTCTTTCACTGTGTCCTTTTATCCACTGGGAAGGGCGGAAGCTCTTGGGTTGTTCCAAAAATGTTGCCTGAGCAGCAAGTGCTGCAACACAGCAGTGAATGTGTTTTTCCATTTCACTTTGGGCTTCTATTCTGAAACAGATCAAAGTGGAGTTTATCAATAACAGACTACATTACTAAAAAGGTTACTTAGTAATTTGATTTTCTATATTCATTTGTCTGGTTGGGTAAGTGCAGGTGTCTCATGGCTGATGGACAGATTTATGTTTTGTGACTGCATTTGCTTTTAGTGGTAGAAGTGAGACAGGCTACCCTCAAGTCCACCATCCTCCTGCTTTAGCCTCTCAAGTTTTAGGATTACAAATGTGTGTCATAACTCCTAGCTGAAAGGTTAACTTTTAATAGAAACCTAGGCTGTTATTGTCCAGAGATGGCTAAATGGGCTGTATATTAAAAAATGTGCTTCATGCTGAGTAAATTTAATACGGTTCTCCATGAGGAGAACTGACGTCTATTGAACATCTACAGTTCTGTTTAGTTTTCTGAGACAGAATCTCACGTAGCTCAGGATGGCCTCCAGTTTATCAAGTAGGCAGCACTGGCCTTGAATTACTGATAGTACTGCCTCAGCTTCCCAAGTGCTGGAATTACAGGTGTGAGCCACCACACCCTGCTTTTGGCTGTTTTGAAGATATTATCTATTTCATTCTTATAGTATTTAAAATTTGATTGACTAAAAAGCATTTATACCAACAGCACCTTCACAGCTGATTTCTACAAATAAATGTCCTAAGTAGCATGTGAGTCTGCATATCACAGAATTGTACATAGGATATTCCACCAGCTTTACATTTCCTAGGTAAGAAATCAATGCCTATTACACACGTCAGGTTGTTTTGTTTGTTTTTCCTTATACCACAGAAAGATGTATTTTGGAATGACATGTGTATGGCAGTATTTCAAGACCTGTATCTTAAGCCAGGTTGTGGTGGCACACCTTTAATTCTAGCATTCAGGAGGCAGAGGCAGGTGGATCTCTGTAAGTTTGAGGCCAGTGTGGTCTACAAAGCTAGTTCCAGGACAGCGAAGGCTACACAAAGAAAGCCTGTCTCAAAAACCAAAAATCAAACCAAACCAAAAAACCCCCACATTATCTTAGAACATGGTTGAATATAGTAAGACTGTTGTGTTTTCTATACTAAAAGCCTAACAAATCAAATTAGTCTAAACTATATTAACACATAACAGTTTTCTGCAGTGCTGTGTATTCATCTCAGGCCTCTTGCACAGTTAGCCAGTGAGCTATATTCCCAGCATAACTGTGATAATGAGGATGATGATGACAGCCCCGACTGGCTTCAGGCTCCCTTGAACTTCTGATCCTACCACCTCTCCCCCTCAAGGACTGGGTTCCACCACTTGTGCACCACCACATCCAGTTTATTCACTGGAACCAAATCTAGGTTTTTTGCACCAGGCAAGCACTCCATAAACTGAGCAATATCCCAGTCTGAGTTTTAAGATTTTTACCAGTTATTTTATTCAGGAAGGGCTGTTACATATTTTGTCTAAACTGATCTGAGGAAACTATGTTTATATGCATGTACACACATGCAGAGTAGAACTGAAACAGATTCCATTAAGAAATGAACGAGGGTTGGGATGCAGCTCAGTGGTAGAGTGCTTGTCTAGTATGTACAGGCAGGCCCTGGGCTTGATCAGTAGGGGAAACAAAAGAAAAAAGAAAGAAGCAACAAATAGAAAAACGTTAATATAAACTCAGTAAGTTTTAGAAGGCGGGCATTTGCACTCCTAGTCTCCCTGCTCAGCCTGATAACATAGATCATACAGTCTCAAAGTGAACATACTTACTCTGTGCCCGTGAGTCTTATAAGCAGCTTTTCCTGGCCCTACAAATGTTAAATGGTGAACTATTAAATCATAGTAAGATTTAAAATGCCATTTAAATTTTACTACTAGGACATGGTCATTTTTCTTTATTAAGACTGATTTATTATGGGCAATAGAAGATACATATTACTTAAAATGATGGTTGCTCATAAACCTTCACAAACAATATTTATAAAGGTTGCAATGCAATAAAACATACACTCAGAGCCATTATAAGTACTTAGCTTCATTCTCATATGGCTTATACAAATATCCCCGAGGACAGACAGAATGGAAGTAGCATATTTGAAAGACATAGTTTATTGCTTGTTCAGAAAGCACAGACTGTTTATTATATAAATAGTCTTGCCATTTTGGTAACACACGGTTCTACCTTGATTTAAAAATACACATAAACACAAATCCCCTTTGAGACAGTAGCTCACTATGCATGCCAAGCTGTCCTTATGCTTGTGATCCCCCTGCCTCACCCTCCTAAATGCTGGGATTACAAGCATGTACCACCATGCCTTGCCTTTGATAATTCAATTATGAAAAATTATGTTTGTTGGTCCTACATGTTAATACTTAAAACATAGGAATGCAAAACCAACTTGGGGCATTAAGTTGCAAACACTTAAGCCCTTGATACAGTGCACAGACACTGGTTTGGATAAAGCTGATGAAACACTCTAAGGTATGCTCTTATGACTTGGGAAGCAGATAAAGTGAAAATTTGCTGAAACACAATGATGGATATCGTGTCTAATAAAATAGTTTAAAAAGCATGCCCCCAAATGGGTTCAGAGTGTGGGTGAATGGGTACTGGTATGAGCCCGTATAGTAAAAACAACTCAGGACAAGCCTGGGGTGTTAATAGTATTCATCTGTGGATTGCGAGGGATGTCACTTCAAAATTTAAGATTTCTGCATATTTAAATGTTTGGCAATACATGTCTGTTATAATACATTATTTTGCAAAGCTGTCAATTATACACATACATACAAATGTACTGTAGTACTGAAAAGTATCAAATGCCAGTAAATAAATTTAACATGACCATTTTTTTTTAAAGATTTTACTTATTTCTGTATCGTGTGTATGAATGTTTTGCCTGCATGTAAATCTGTGTACCACATACCTACAGTACCCACAGAGGCCAAAAGATGGAGTCATCCCCAGAGACTGAAGTTACAGTCATCCTCTGCCATATGGATGGTGGGAATTGAATTTGGGTCATCTGAAAAAGCAGCCACTGCTCTTAACAACTGAGCCATCTTTCTGGCCCCTAATCATGTTAAATTCTTGCATAGGATTCTTCAGAGGTGCAATCAGAATCAGTAGGAAAGAACTTTTAAAAACTGAAGAAGTGGTGTATGCCTTTAGATCCCAGTACTCGGGAGGCAGAGGCTGGTAAATCTCTGTGAGTTCAAGGCCAGCCTGGCCTACAAAGTGAGTTCAGGACAGCCAGGGCTGTTACACAGAAAAACCCTGTCTCAAAACAAAAAACTTGAAATACACTTAAGGCAACTATAAAGCAATTAAATCAGCACCTCCAAACGAGTTATATTTTAAATTTTCGTTGGGATGCCAAGAACACCTAACTTGGCAAAATTATGGTTTTCAATAAACTGCCACTTAAAAAGTCCCAGTTTAGGCCTGGCCTTATGTGACTATATAAAAACATGACTTTTGGTGTGAGAAAGAGGAAATGTATTTAGCCTTGCTAAAGTGCATCTGTAATATTGAGACTTAAGAGGGTAGCGACTCTAGAAAGGTTAGCATTGCCAGGGTTTTGTTTCTACTCCATAGATGGAAAACAGCTGTATACAGTGGTCCAATGGAGTCACAGTCTGAACCATCCAAAAGGAGCCCTTTGGATGACAGAGCAGTCCTACAAAGGGTCCAGTCACCCAAATGCTCTACCTACAAGATAGAATAAGTCAGTGGCAACATTCAGAATGTTACCAGGCATGTTCCTCTGACACGCATGATGGATTAGCCAGACTCTAAGCAGAGATGGAGAAGACATGGTTTTTGTAGGTGAGAATCGTCTCAGATGTATTCCTGAGAATGTTCTGTTGATGAAGGCCGCAGAATATTTGGAAAAGTTCATTTGGAACACACTAATCTTCACCGACTTCCCTTCCTTGAGCTTACTGGGCCTTCACCTATCTGCCATTTTGGACTGCCATATAAGAGAACATCACTTCAGTGTGAAATCTGAGGACAGCCCTTGGAACATAGTTGGATTTTCAAGATTAAGTACCATTTAAGGTGATTTAGCTAAGAATATGTAGGAAAAATTATTTTTTGAGACATAGGGGAATTTGATAAACTTAAATAATCTAGTGTATAAGATATACCAGAAATACATTCTAATATACTTATCAGAAATATTCTGTTTTAAATTTCCGTTCAGTAGCATAAGTTTATAAGTGAGATGGCTCTCTATTCTGCAGCTGAGCCAATTAATACCTTGTAAAACTCCATCCTGACCTTCATGCTCCAGTTATAGCTCTGACCAAGTTATTTAAGTAAATCTCTAACACAATTACTCTTGTATCTTCTAAAGCCTTAACTTTGTACTGTGTAGAAATAAAATTTTTGTTTAGCAGATTGCTTGTGCAGAGAGTGAAGTGCTTACAACATACCTGGGACCACTTGAGTTATATTCATCATTCCCACAGCTGGCCTCACTGAGACCAGGACAGGAGTTGTGCACAGCATAGACAGACATGCTGGGATGTTCAATGAGAAGGTTTTCCATAGGACTTGTTTCCACCTTGATAGTGGTTACTCCACCTGCTGTAAAACAGGGGGGAGGGGTGATGAACCAACTCTCTTCTATTGGACAGGACTCAAACTGTAGGAAGCAGGAATCACTGGTGTCAGCCAAGCACTCCAAAGATGCAGGTAAACAGGAGAAGACTGAAGTGTGTTCTGCTGGGGACTCTTTGCTGATGTCATCTTCCTCTTCTTCCTCTGCTGAGAAACCAGTGCAAGTATCTAGATTGTGATCCACATTGCACATGGGAGGACGAGCAATCAAGTGTGGTAGTCACCCATCAAGTTCATAAAACAGAAAAAAGAAGGACAGTGCTATATTAACGGATGCTCACAAAGGCATTTATATTTGCTTATAACTATTTCCACCCTCTGTGTGCAGTCACACTGGCATTGAAGAATGGCTATAGGACTTTCTATTGTAGCAAATAAACATATTATGAGCCCTGTAGATTCCTGCTGCTCATACAAGGGTTTTCTGTTAAAGCACTACTGTTTGGACCAGGCTTTGGGAATTGCAAAACTGGATAATCTGACATCAATTCATTTTACTGACTGGATTGTCTGGCATAAAATGTTCCTGAATGTTTTTTTAAATATATCCTCACTTACTTTTAAGCCTTAAAAGTTATACTTAGGAGTTCACATTTTCTATGTATATATGTATACATTCATGTTTGAGGGTACATGAGGGGGGGGTGTGTGAGTGTGTAGATGCACTTTATTGACTGCGCTATCCCCCTTACCCCAGGAGTTCCCACTATAATCATAGTCTTGGGAAATGAAGGCAGGAGGATCAAGAGTTTAAGGTTATCCTTAACTTTGCTGGATGCCACTTGTGTTTTAATGATTAGTTGTTAGGTATGCCTTACCTATGAAGTCAACAAGAATCCACTCATCATCTTCTTTCTCACTAAATTCTGGTTCTGGGTTGGAAGAAGTAGTGACCTCACCTACAAACATTTTATTCAGTCTCTGAAACATTGTTAAGGCAAGATTGAGACTTTGGCTGGTTATCTTTATAGCTGAGATTCTGAAACCCGGTCTTCAGTTGGCCTGATGGCACAGACAGAAGATTAAAGTGCACAGTGTTTCTTCAACTTCAGTGAAGAGCAAGAAGATTCATCATCCCTAAAAGAAAACAAAAGATGGTTACTTATTTTTATTTGTTGTGAGGTTTTTGAGATAAGACCGGCCTTTACTTCCAATCTCTCTTGCTTCCACCATGATGTCAAGCCCTCATCCTACCTACCCCATTGTCCTCTTGTTTTGTGTTCATCATGTATGACTTTAATTTGAAATATGTAAGAACAGCATAGTCTGGCTTTTGAAACAAGTCCTATTATTGGCATGAGGAAATTTACACTATAGCAACTTAACTGAGGCTGGCAACACTATTCTCTGGAGTAGTTCAGGAGTCAGTGTGTACCTGGCACTCAAATCCTGGCTTTCCCCTTTCTCACTTTAAAACATAGGAAGATGGGGCTACAAAGATAATATGGTTAAGATCATGTATTGCTCTTACAGGTGACCAGCTCAGTTCCCAGCATCTACATGTTGGCTCACTATCATCTGTTGACTCCAGTTCCAAGGGATCTGACACCCTCTTCTGACCTCAGAGGGCACCAGGCATATATACAGTACATATACATACTTGCAAGCCCTTATACATTTAAAAAAAAAAAAAAACCAAAGAGCCAGTGAGATAGCTCATTGGGTAAAGACACTTCTAAGCATAATGACCTAAGTTTGATCCCTAGAACCAATACAGTAGAAGGAAAGAACCAACTTATACAAGTTATCCTCAGACCTCCATACATATACGACCCATGTTTTTAAAAAAAAGATTTAGAAAAATAAAATAAATAAAAAATAAAAAAAGATGTAGGAAGCTACACAACTTCAGTTGATAATGGCTCCTACCACAGGTAGTTCTAGTCAAGTTCTAAATGAGGAAATCCAGCTTGTTTTAGCTAAGCACAGAGGTACAGACTATTTCTACCTGGCTGCCTCATAGTATAAAAAAATTGAACACAAAGAATTTTTAATTGTTTCCTAAAAATTATCTCTTTTTGCAGCCTCCTACCAATTCTGATGCTACTCAGTCCCTTATCCAAACTACCAACAAGTTCTGTGGACTCTTGGCTATACCAATAGCCTAAATCTACCTGCTGTGTTTTTTGTTTTTATGAGACAGGGTTTCTCTGTGTAGCTTTGGCTGTCCTGGATTCATTTTGTAGACCAGGCTGGCCTCAAACTCAGAGGTCCACCTGCCTCTGCCTCTAGAGTGCTAGGACTACAGGTGTTCATCACCACACCTGGCTTCTACCTGCTGTTCTTAACTGCTGTCATTCTAGGCCAACAACATTCTCGCTGATCTACTCTTTTGTTAAGTGAGATTATGCAGGCAGTATGTTTAGCAAGGGTCAGACAGTTCTCTGGACAGGTCAACTGTTATTCTACAAATACTTAGTATCTACTATGTATAAGGCATAGTGCTGAGCACAGGAGAGCTAGCAGTGGACAAGAACCACACAGGAAGTGAAAGAGTACAATTATGAATGTAGTAGAAAGAATGCTAGAAGGTCCTCCGGTGTCCTTGGTGCAGCTTTCCAGTAAGTGACCTTGGATAAGTGAAAAGATCTGCAGGGGAGAAGGGGCAGGCAGAACACTATGAAAGCCTGCATAAGAGAGCATGGCAGTGTCCAGGTTGCTCAGCAGGCCACAAGAACAAGCTGGGGGCCAAGCAGGACCGGTTCCTGCAGGACCTTATAGGGAAGAAATTAAGGAGAGAAACCTAGGCATGGAGCTATATATCTGTAACCTCAGCACTTGACAGAATATGACAACAGGATCAAGATTTCTTGGCCAGCTTGGGGTACATAGTGAAGTTCTGTTTTTTAAAAAATAAACCTATCGGTGGTGGCACACACCTAGAGAACAGGGATACCACACAAATACAGGATGGATGTTACTGCTGTGCTGACTTAGGGAGTACATGATGCGAGCTAGAGATGTTAAGCAGAAGAATACAAGTTTGGGAGTGTGGTTTCAGTCAGGAGTATAAATTTAGGAGCTAGCAAAACAAGAGGAATGACAAATGGGCTCTTGCCCCCCCCCCTTTTTTTGGACAGGGTCTCACTTTGTAGCCCTGGTGGATTTGGAACTCAATGATCTTTCTGCATCAGGTAAGATTACATACATGAGATACAATGCCCAGCTCACTTTCAAAACTTTGAAGAGAATAGTTGAGCTGTGCTGCTAAAATACCTGGTGCCATTCTCAGTGTATAGAATAGACTGCCATAACTATTTATATACAAGGGTAACACATCTCAAACAAATGACATTTAGACACTCTGGGGTTGTAATGGATCATCCTCAGCCATTAATTACTAAAATTGGGTAAATAGGAAATATCACTTGCATAACCAGTTTTCCTGAAACCTGGGAAATATCATGGTCAGATGATGAGGGCTGCAGCCTAATAGAATTCAAGAGAAATGATAGAAAAAGTGGACTGTGCAGTTTACCTGACCCAAAGGATGAGTCATTATGAGGTTGTGTGTACATGAAGGCTTTGGAACATGTAAGAAATGGGAAGTGTATTTATCTTAGATTATGAGGGCAGATATCAGCCCCAGTACAAACTGTGCTGAATGAGCTAAGAGAGCCACCATCATCATTGTCCTGATTCTAAGGGTCTTACTGTGTGCCCTAATCAACTAGAGCTGCTGTGGAGTGGAGAGAATGTCACAGGGAATTCTTCAGTCATCCTGCGTTGAGAGCCTTGTCCTTTACCTGTGATCCTGCCTGGGATAAATTACTGGGACTCAGGCCTTATCAGTTGACTACAAGCCCCGAAAGGTGGCTGGGTCAAGGGTTAATATAGCAGCTGCAAACTGCCCCTTTGGCTACAGCCAAACCCAGGATGGTGGCTATGCCTGTAATATCTGGACTCTGCCACAGACAGGCTGCTCCTTAAGATAGCCATGAGACACAGCAAAAGTCATACTCTTCATTTCTTGAAGTCAGGAGGCCATTTCCAGGTGCCATGTTTCGGCAAGGACCAGCAATGGGAAGGAAAGAACTCATCTTCAACTCACAGTCACTGTTGGTATTTACATGACATATCTGAGGGCTTTGGGCTCAGAATGGAGTCCTGGAAAGAGGAGAGGGAATGTCTGCCTAGGAACTAGCAGCGGAAGCTGTGTGTGTGTGTGTGTGTGTGTGTGTGTGTGTGTGTGTGTGTGTGTGAGAGAGAGAGAGAGAGAGAATGCGCGCGCGCTCCTGCGTGAACACACAGAAAATATATGTGTGTGTATGTATATATTTTTATTTATTTTTCTGTGTAGCCTTGGCTGTCCTGTACTCGTTTTGTAGACCAGGCTGGCTTTGAACTCACAGAGATCCACTTGCCTCTGCCTCTCCAAATGCTGGGATTTCAGGCTTGTGCCACTCCTCCTGTCTCTACCCCATGTATTTTTACTACTGTGACCAAGAGACTAAATTTTAACTTTTTTGGGGGGTGGGAGGAGGTTGAGACAGGGTTTCTAACTTTTAAAATTGTTCTGTTGGGTTAAAAAAACTTTAATTTTTATTTATTTATTTATTATTTATTTATTTGTTTGTTTATTTTGCTTTTGAGACACGGTTTCTCTTTGTTGCCCTGGCTGTCCTGGAACTAGCTTACTCTATAGACCAGGCTGACCTAGAACTCAAGAGATCTACCTACCTCTGCCTCCCCAAATGCTAGGTTTAAAGGTGTATACCATCACCCCCTGGCTAAGATTTTTGTTGTTACTATTTTTTCAAGACAGGGTTTCTCTGTAGTCTTGGCTGTCCTGGACTTATTTTGTAGACCAGGCTGGCCTCGAACTTAGATCCACCTGCCTCTGCTTCCCTAGCACTGGGATGGCATGCACCACCTCACCCATTTTGTTTGCTTGCCTTTTGTTTTTAATTTTTAAGTGTGTGTATGTGTACACTTACTGAACTGTCTTGCCAGTCCTTCAATTTATTTATTTATTTTTATTATAAAGAGTGGGGTTGTGGGCTGGAGAGATGGCTCAGATGTTAAGAACACTGGTTGCTTTTCCAGAGGTCCTGAGTTCAATTCCCGGCAACCACACGGTGGCTCACAACCATCTATAATGATATCTGGTGCCCTCTTCTGACATGCAGGCAGAACAGTGTATACATAATAAATAAATAAATAATGGAATAATAATAATAATAATAAAAAGTGGAGCTTATACCAGGCAGTGGTGCACACTTGTAATCACAGCACTCTGAGAGGCAGAAGCAGGTAGATCCCGAGAGTTCAAGGCTAGCCTGGCAGCCTGGTCTATGAAGTGAGTCCAGGACAGCCAACTCCATACAGTGAAACACCGTCTTGGAAAAAAAAAACGCAAAAACAAAAAACAAAGAGTAGGTCTTACTTTGTAGCCCTGGCTAGCCTGGAACTTTGGATGTAGACTAGACTGGCCTCAAACTCACAGAAGACCCAACTATCTCCACCTCCCCAGTCCTGAGATTAAAGGTATACGTATTATACCTGCCCCTGAATTTTAAATTTAACCCACTTAAATAAAGTGATATTTGAGGCAGACTTCAGGAAACTTTCACTTACATCGGAATGTGAGCCTCCCTTTTTCAACTATAAACTTTTATCAACCAAATACAGAGCCAGGTAGGGAATATTCTAGCTTTTGCCTTGCCAACTGCTCCCTTGCATACTCCACAAACCATTCTAAAAGTAAAGGGGGGAAAAAAAAACCTAAATATGGTTTACGTATTTCCAGTGAGGACTTTACATCCGATTATGCCACTTGTATAGGGTATATACTGGGATGTATTGGAAAGATTTGGTACTGAAAACATTAAGTATATCATTAATTATTTTACATCAATTACATGTTAATATAATGATGTTTTTGATAGTTAACAAAGGTATGAGAAGTTTACCATCCACATAGGACAATGCTGTTGTTTAAAAAAGAAAAATATCCTAGGGACTGAAGAGATAGGTAGGCAGAGTGTTGGCTGCCCTACCCAAGGAGTAAGGAGTAGAGTTTGAGTCCAGTCACCCACTGATGGCTCACAGTGCCTCTAACTCCAGCTCCAGAGGATCCCATGCCCTCTTCTGGCCTCTGCAAGTACTTATGTGCATGTGTGTGTGATAAAAATAAAACACCTTCTTGAAATCTTCCTAAACTTTAACTCCCACAGATGACCCAGAAAATGTCCCTTCATAAATCACTATTCCTTTTGACACCTACCAAGAGATGGTAGGTCCAGAGAGGAACAGGTTCTGTGTGAGGACAAATAGCAAAAGCAGGGCTTCAGAGTTTCCCTGTACGGTCACTGACTTATAGTCACAACTCTAGGGTATAGTGAAACTATAAGGGAAGTTCCTGAGAAAACATGAATCCCCGAGAGAACAGGCTGACAAATATAGTTTTGGAATTTAGCAAAGGGCCAAGAGAAGCTAAATGAGGCAGCCTGCTACTCTGAGGTACTTGGAGGGGTCTTCGTAGGAAAGGAAAACAAACTATGTAGGCTCAAGTATTAATCAAGGCAGATTTACCCATTACCGATTGCTTGCTTTAAAATACCACCACGCTCCATTACAAAAAGTACATGGCTTTGTTTGGGGTTTTTGTTTTTGTTTTGTTTTTTAAATAAAATGAAAAAGACCACATCATAGATTTTGAGAAAATGGGGGTGGATTCTGTTCCACCATCTTGTTCAATGATTGTTAGCATCTGGCCCATTTTCATTTATTTTTATCCTGTCTTTCACATCATAAGAGTAAAAACTGTTTTGTGCTGAGTTTACTTGTGGCTAAGAATATTCTGCTTTGAGAACCTATAGTGGAGTTTTTAAGTTTGTAAGATATTGCTGGCATGCCTTTGTTTTTTTGTTTGTTTTTGATTTTTGAGACAGGGTTTCTCTTAAACCCTGTTTGAGTTATAGGATAACCTTTGCTGTCCTATGCCTCACTCTGTAGACCAAGCTGGCCTCAAACTCCTAGAGAGCTGCCTGCCTCTGCCTCTGCCTCCTGAGTGCTGGGACTAAAGGCTTGTGCCACCACCACCTGACACATTTCTCATTTTTGAGATACATACCCAGAAAAAGAAGGTGTGGTGTGGACCTAATTGCTGGCTTTGGATACTTGGGCCTTCTGCTACCACATGTGGGAATTAGGTTTTTTTTTTTCTATAAAGGTCATATATATATACATACATAGACACACACACACATAGATATACTTACTAAGTAACTAGATGACTAGATTACAATTTGCAGAATGCTTATGGTATGTGACAGGCAGTTGAGATATTTCTGTTTTCTGTGAAGAGGAAAGTGAGCCCCAGAAATGAAAACAACTTGCTCAAAAGCAAGAGAGCTGTATCTGGAAGGAGCAGTAGGGCAGGAATCCTGCCAACCTGGTGCCTTGCTTTTCCCTGCACATGAACTCCTTCTGTCCTGGCTCTAAAAACTTCAGACTAGCACTTTTCAATGGTTTTGACTGCCAGCAGGCGGCTCCAAAAACATTTTAAAATTAAAAACAACAACAAAACACCCACAACTTTGATGAATGTAGCTGTGGCTTCTCAGCAGTTTTGAAATACCAGCTGGCTAAACATGTCATTGAAAAGCAACTTTAAAATATTTCTCAGGGGCCAGAGGATAGCTCAACAAGTCAGAGTGTGTGCTGCAAGCCTGATGACCTGAGTTTGAGCCCCAAAATCTACATGATGGAAGGAGAGAACCTCCTACTTCAGAAAAACAAAGATGCTAATACAAGTGTTTGTTCTTTTGGTCAGAAACAAGGGCTGTCTTTGAACTCCTTATGTGTCCACCTTCCCTTACTGGAATTACAGGCGGGAGCTGTCAAGCCTTGGCTTTGATTCAAGAAACTCAGAAATAAATTTTGAACTGAGAAAAGGAAAGGAAGGGAGGAAGGGAAGAAGGAAAGAAGGATGGAAAAGGAAGGAAGGAAGGAAAAGAAAGGAAGAAAGGGAAGAAGGAAAGAAGAAAAGAAGGATGGAAAAGGAAGGAAGGAAAGAAGGAAGGAAAAGGAAGGAAGGGAAGAAGGAAAGAAGAAAGAAAAAGGAAGGAAGGAAGGAAGGGAAGAAACAAGGCAAGAAAGTTGTCTTGGCTCATTCCACCTCTACTCTATTTAGCTAATTTACAAGATTATTCCCCTGTGGACGCGCCACCTCCTGTTCTGAAGTCTGGAGATAGTGAACAGAGAGCAGTTAGGTTGGTAACTCATTGCTTGTTTAGCCCTGACTTTTGAAAGCAGAGCCATTCCCAAGAGAAATACACCAGGGAGCAGAAAAGAACAAGACAAAGATGAGAAAACAAGAGAGACATTGGTAAAAAAAAAAAAAAAAAATAGTAGGCTATAGTTTCCAGGAAGGCCTTTAAAAATTGCAGTTTTGAATTTTAGTGGCTGAGGGTGAAAAAGCCGCCTGGTGTTTTCACCTGCCAATGAAAAGTATTACAATCACCAAGCATGTGATTTCAAGATCTTGAGGCATTTGTAATGTTAGTCCAAAGACTAAAGAGTCGCACTCCCCTCGCAAAACTACTCAGCATTCTGAAAGGGCTCTTTCAGCCAGGAACGCGCAGTCTTTAGGGGTTACAGGTGGAAAGAGGCTCCCCCTTAATCGACTCTGAATTACACGGAACCATAGAAGGAACTGCACGTGAAATCCCTCTGCAAACAGTACACACTGCTTCCTTTTAATTAGCTGGGTGGCCTTTAAATTACTCAATCTCTCTGTATCCACAAGTTTCCTCCGTTTAAATGAGCAAATTTGGGGCCTCACAGGGCGGTCGCGCCGGGCTGAGGTGAAGTGTCTGGAACCCACCGCAGTCTCTGGCACACCCCGAGTGCCAGTGATCAAACCGATCGGCCCCGACGGTGGCGGGAAGTGCTCTCCCCACAGGTGCAGGCTCGGAAGTGCTCGGGGTCAGGGGGGGCCGGGGCGGGTCTCGGGGTAACGGAGCGGGTTTCCCGTCACCCGCGGGTCCTCGGCGTCGCCGCGCTCCTCACGGTGGGCGAGGGCCCGGCAGGGCAGGCGGCCACCCAACCGCCGCCCTCCCGCCCGCCCCGCCCGCACTTACGTGAGCCGAGCGGAGCGGCGGACGCTGAGGTAGCTGCGGCGGCCCCGGCTCCGGCTCCGGCTCCGGCGTTGCGGTCGCTGCCCTGGCGGCCGCCGGACCGTCCGGGTCCTTTTGTTGTTGTGCAGCTCTCGGAACAGCTGATCGGCTTCCCGGCTCCGCCCCGAGCCGCGCCAGCCCCGGGCCGACCAATCGGCTGCGCGCGGGCCCCCGGGGCCGCCCTGCGAGAGGTTGTCACTAACGCACGTGACCTGGCGCCCGGCCCGCGGCGCGCCCCGGGCAGAAACAAGCCCGGGCAACAAAGCGGAGCCCGAGCGCTCCCGGGGCGAGCGGGAGGAGGGGAGAGCGCGGGCCCGGGGCTGGCCGGGTGGGGGCCAGCGGCCGCGAGGGAAGGAAGGGGAAAGAAAGCCAGGGAAGAGCCCGATCCCCGCAGCCGCTGTGGCTGAGTGAGGGGCCCAGAGCGTGGGCACGAGGCTCGAGAACCCCTTGTGCTGAGGGAGTTAGCTGTTGGGGACGGGGCACCAGTTGCTTGTCTGGCCAGTGTAGGGCAATGGTCAGTGATGCTGAAGGCAAACCACCTCTGGGCACTCCTGGGCCCTAAATAACGAGGATGCCTGCGGCCCACTCGCTCCCCTCTCTTTAGTAAGACAATAAGCCAGGGCCCTGTCTGCTTCAGGAACTTCACCTGGGAGCTCCAGGGTCTAGCCGCTAAGAGTCTGCCCTAGGAAGGCAAATGCCAGGCAGAGGAGGGCCCCAGTGGAGGCCTAAAGGCCCTTAGCTCGCGAAAAGAGGAACCCTGAGTGAAGAAGACTTAGCTCTGCTTCTTCCCGGGGCTCTGCATCTAAGTGCTCATATGATCCAGGGAGGTTATGAACTGTTTTGTTTATATGCCTGCAAAATGTACACATTCACATGAGACCTACCTACTCACCAGCTATTTATAGAGAGAAGAAAATGAGACACTGCACTTGTAAAGGGCTTACAAACCAAAGCTCTGCTGCACATAGATAGGTGGATAAACTGGCATCGGCAAATCATGTTGATGCCTGTCAGTTCTACGCATTCTGTTGGACTAAGATGAAACCTCTGCTCTTGGTGAGATGTATTGCTCAAGTGTTCTCTGTGAGGGCGCTGTAGACAGGCACTTCTCAACCTGTGGGTCGCGTAAGACCATCGGGAAATACATTTACAATTCACAGCAGTAGCAAAATTATACTTATGAACTAGAAACAAAATAACTATGGTTTCTCTATCTCTCTTCTCTCTCTACTCTCATGGCCCACTCAGGCCCTAACTTCTCTCCCTTTTCCTCCCCCCAAGTAAATCTCTTCTTATCAGAAAAAAAATAATTTTGTGGTGGGGGGGTCACCACAATATGAGGAACTGTATAAACAGCCTGCAGCATTAGGAAGGTTAAAAGCCACTGAGCAGCCTGGTTTGCTGGCACACACCTGTAATCCCAGCACTCGGGAGGCAGAGGTAGGTGGATTCTCTGTGAGTTTGAGGCCAGCCTGGTCTATAAAGTGAGTCCAGGACAGCCAAGGCTACACAGACCCAGTCTTGAAAAAACAAGCAAACAAACAAGAACCCTGGTGGGGAGACAAAGACTAAATAAGGATGGCAAATGTCTGCTTCTTCCTCATTCGCTTCACCTGAGAAAAAATGTTTTTTTTCTCCTGCCCTAAGAACTTTTCTTCGCTGTGATTGGTCCAGGCTCGTCAGGCATATTCAAGGCTGGCCCTGAACATGTTACCTGAAGCTGTGGGCCCATCAGCTCCCCTTTGTTTAATTTGCCAACCCAAAATTAGGGGAGAAGGACCCATTCCGGGCCACCAAAAACACTTAAGACAGCCAGCCTTCCAGGGGAAAAGGTGACTTTTGATCTCCAAGAGCCCTCTTGGCTCTGAAGGGAGTCAGGGAATTGTCTGACTATTGTCTGAGCCATATGTGTTGGTCAGTTGACCTTACATGCTTCAAGGGTGTAGTCTCTGCACAGTGTGGATTTTAGATTTTGTCAAATCAGGTATTTTCTCTCAAACATTATTGCTGTGTTAGGAGCCTCATCCTGTCTTGTTTAATCCATCTAGGAGCCCCTGTACCCCTGGGGGAGAGGCAGGAGGGAGAATCCATCTGGTACTCATCTTCCTGTTCAGAACCAACATTTATTAACAGTTATAAAAGTCTAGTTTTTTTTTTTTTTTTTAATCAGAAGACTTACCTTGTCCAGTTTGACAAATTTGTCATTCCCAAAGGCAATGTGTGGACGTGGTACCGTGTAATGACAGAGAGAACCTGAGACAAATGACGATTCCAGAGACGCTTCCAGCAAGAGTCTCCACCACGAATCCTAACCTACCCTCCACCGACTGGGCTAGCCCTGTCAGCGCTCTGACCCACACAGTACAGTAGCAGTGATGATAGTCTAGGACTTACGCTTCCGAGCATTAAGAAAACCTGGGCAGTTTCTGCCTCATAGTCTGGGAGAAGACAATGACATGACAAAACTGTCAGTCATGCTGTGAGGACGCTCAAACCAGCTGTGTAAAGAGATCACAAGGTAAGAGATGCCTGGCCAGGCCCTGAGGTAGAGTCCATCCAAGCTGAGATACCAGTAAGGAGAGAAAAAGGCCCTCCAGGCAGTTCCAGCTTCAGCAGAGCATGAGATGAGCTGTCTCCTCTGTGTCCTGCCAAAATGGCAGAATCCTGAGCAAACAAATGATTGTGTGTGTGTGTGTGTGTGTGTGTGTGTGTTTAATATTTATTTATCTATCTATTTATTTATTTACTTACTTACTTACACAGTCTCTTGTAGCCCCAAGAGAATCACTATGTAGCACAGACTGACCTTAAATGCCTGATCTCCCTACCTCTGTCTCCCAAGGGCTGGGGTCACAGCTGTGTGCTATTTACTACACCTACAAATAATTGTTTTAATGCATAAATGCAGGTACTTTGCTGTTTCGCATTTTTTTTTTCACTGAACCTAGAGCTTTTTTCTTAAGATAGGCAAGAAATATACCTCTATATCCCCAGCCCTTGGTGCTGAAAAAAACAGAAAGCTAGTAGAGAGTGGTAGCACAGGTCCTTAATCTTAGTGCCTAGGAGGTGAAGGCAGGGAGACTAGGAGTTCAAAGTCATCTTCCAGGGCCTATCTGGTCTACCAGAAACCTTGTCACAAAAAACAAACCAACCAAACCCAAGCAGCAACAACAGAAAACCCATCACCACCAAGAGCAGCAAATCCCCCAAAAGCCTATCACAGACGCACCCATTTCTAATTTAAAAGTTTTTATTTTGTTTTTCATCAGGCCAAGCATGTGAGCTCAGTGTACCTGCCAAGGCCTTGGGTTCAGCACCCACCACTGCACTGCAAAGGAAAAGGAAAACCTTATCTTATCTCAGCATTACTTGCTTTTTGTTTACGCTTGCTCATTTATAATCTTGCTTTTTCCTGTGATGTACAAGAAGCAAGGAGCTGGTGGTTGTTTGTGGAAAGTTTATATGTCTGTCCCTATAAGGAAGTAGTATTTTATCACTTGTTTTGAAGTTCCTACTAACAGAAATCACCAAACCCCTTCACTGCCTACTGCCCACAGCTGGACACCCGGAGTGGCTTGTTCCTGCTTGACGTGCTCTGGTTTGGGGAATTGCATAACGTAAGACTCTTGAGTAAGGTCACTTCCAAAGCACGGAGCTGTCTGCATGTAACTGAACTCAAATCACACAACAGCCAACACAATCTTTTCTCTGTTGGATGACAAAAGACCCGGCCATTCCCTGCCTGGGCAGCCCCCATGAATGCAACTGTCCTTTAATTCATAGGCTAATTCCCAGAGTGTTGCTATAGTACTCAGTCTCAGGCTGCCCCCCCCTGCTGCAGAGTGACTGGCTCTCCCCGTCTGTCAGACTATCCTTGTCTGTTTCCCCTGGTGCTCAATACACTCCCTGATCTACCGGAACAAAAGGTATTCAACCTCCAGTTTTGTTTGAAGGCCCACAGGCCTGGACCACATTTATGCCAGCATCCAGATACAAGTAATGCTCCTGCCTCCTGCTCACAAAATTAGGTTGTGGCTGTCACCCTGCCAGCTGCAATGGAGGACCCTGCCTTCTCCCAACCTAAAGCACCAAGCTGTTCAGCTCTACTGTAGAGCTGTAGATAATCCCAAAGTGGAGTCTTCCCCTTCACCTTCAATCTGTGTACCAACAGAGGGGGTCAGCTGGGCTTTGACTATGGACCAGACTGATGCCAACCATCTAGGAAAAATGCAAAGTTGTTCTAGATTTCATTTAAAGTGATCAAGCACTTAAAACTCCAATGAAATCCATCATTTCAAATGCAGAAGAGAATGAGTCAAACTGAACCAGAAAGCCAGAAACAGAAGGGTGGTGGTTTGAATAAGAACGGCCCCCATAGGCTCATAGATTTGAATATTTGGTCACTCGGAGTGGCACGCTTGAGAGGGATTAGGAGGTGTGGCCTTGTTGGAGGAAGTGTGTCACTGGAAGTGGGCTTTCAAAAGCTCCTGCCAGGCTCAGTGTCTTTCCTTCTTCCTGCTGCCTGCTGCTCTGATGTAGGACTCCCAGCTACCCTCTAGTGTCGTGTCTGCCTGCCTCCATGCTCCCTGCCTTGATCACAATGGACTAAACTCTGAAACTGTAAGCAAGCTTCAGTTAAATGCTTTCTTTTGTAAGAGTTGCTGGGGTCATGGTGTCTCATCACATCAACAGAATAGGGACAAAGAAAGGAAGAAATCCCCTGGACTTAACTTCTTTGTTTTTTATATTAAAAAACAAAGTTTTTTAAAGTTTTAATTTACTTTATCTGTGTGGATGTTTTGCCTGCATAGGTATCTGTGCCCCACATCCGGGCCTAGTGCTCACAACAGCCGGAAAAGGCTGTCAGACCCTAAGACTAGAAGTCTAGACAGTTGCCCTGGGAGCTGAACCCAAGTCCTCTGGAAGAGCGGCTAGTGCTCTTAACCTCAGAGACGTCTCCAGGCCCTGTTGTTTTTAAGACAGGGTCTCACTATGAAGCCCTGGCAGGCTGTCCCTGCTGTGTAGACCACTGTGGTCTACACCTGTGGCAGACT